GTAATCTTTGTTAGCAGTAGGCAGTACTCTACAGGCGCCGCGGAACGATTTTTGAAGTGGGGGTGCTAAATTTGTTACGCTCGACAGTGGCCAATGCAGGATTTCGAGGAGGGTGGTAAGAAACATCCCCCCAGAATTCTGGTCCTGCCCCAGAAAATTTTGAATCCCCCATTTTCCTCCTGAAAGTAGGGGGGGATGATTGTACACGCCATCCCCCCCACGTCAATAAGTGGGGGGGATGCATCCCCCCCATCCCCCCCCGCTATCTACGCCGTGTAACAGTCGTAGAGCCTGGTCGGTTTAGTGTTACACCTGCCGCGTAGAAGCAAGAATTAGGATGCGATTCTAGTATGTATATAGAGACATATCTGTCAGCCAGAGTACCTGTTGTCAGAAACAAAACAGAATCAGTCGAACAACATTAGTCTTAACTTAAACACTCTGTCTCATGCAGCAAGGGGTCGGTTGTTAAAAGCAAGATTCGGTTTAACTTTAACTTTATCTCATATCATCTTTAACTTTATCTCATGAGCGGTTGAAGGAAACATTTTCGAGTTTCTCATATGCAGTGTATAGTGGTCCGGATTACGATAAAAAGTTAATGTCAAGACTAATGTGAAGACGAATATTCTTTCGGACAACTTGCCTCGGGATCGTGGGCAAATCGCGGTTTCAAATCGCTGGTGTTCTGTGTAGTATGTGTAGTATGTGTAGTATAATATGTGTTGTGTGTCGTCGCAGGAGCTGACAAGGATAGGAGTGACGTTGGTTGGACATCAGAAGAAGATCATGAATGCCATCCAAATCCTGAAGACAGATGTCAGCACCGTCGTTCCTGCCGATAGCTTCCTCGTATGACGTCACGACCGCTGCTGCTGACGTGCCGTCGTGCGCGCGTCACGTACATGATGTTATATATATATATATATATATATATATATATATATATAGTACACTTACATACACACAGCACGCACCACACAGGCGCGCAGACAAGCATACACACGTACACAAACACGCACGCACGCACGCACACGCACACACACGCACACCACACTTGTGCGCACATAGAAAGAGCATGCATGACTAACATAAACCTTCATACGCAAGAGTTACAATCATATGTATGTACAGATATACGTAGATATCACTGTCGTGGTGTAGTTATAGAGACCAATGATAACTGCAGAATATAATTAGGTATTTAAGCTCTTCGCTGCAGGCGGGTTTCATTCTAACGTCTGTATAATACATGTTTGCGGTCGGTGTAGAACTATTGTGACTCAAGGCTGCACTCGCAATCTTCAGGAATCATGAGATGAGAATAAATCATGTTGCGGTTGCTACCTTGGCAGCCATCGTGTCGAGTGAGGCATGCGTTATACATGGTGACGTGAGTTGGGTGAGAGGATAGAGTTGTCGTCCCAGCTACCGAAGCCACTAGCTACAACTAGCTAGCTAGCACTGACAAATGTTTAAACTCGTGGACACGGGGCATGAACGAAACACGCGTGTTCAAAAAACGGATAGAGATGCACTCGATATTACGAAGAGCGTTCCCTAAAGCAATCGTCTTTCGCATCACGCGTCGGTCATAGCGAATAACGCAGGAGTTATATACAGCGACGTCTGGCGAGAGAAGTGGGTACTAGCGCTCACAACCAAAGTCTAGAGATCCACTGCTAACGACATTGTACGATGTGAACATCAATGTCACCTTCAGCGTTATTATTGCAAGCGGCTGTAAGCGGCTGTACACGCGCGCAATGTTGCTGGTGGCATGATGCTAGCGCGCGTGCGTCTATATAGTTATATGTATCTGTATATTCCGCCGTGACATGTGACTGTCGGAGAGACAGAACAAACAGCGGGAAAACTAAGATGCAGGACTGTACCTTCACCTGCGTGGATGTTGCAGCGTGCGCATGCGCGTTATGTCATCGTGGTGGAAGGGTGATGTCGTGAGCTTTTATTATCGTGTCAGGGAGAAATAATCATCATATCAAGTGTGATCAGACCGACAGGGGGGGTGGGTGACGCCCACATCTGATGAGATTCAGCAGTTATTATATATATACAGCTCGCCGATAGAGGGCACTGGTAGCCGTAATGCATGCTCTCTCGTGGTGCCCTCTATGCGAGGTGTTCACAAGGTGTGAACACAGGGGCGCGCCGCGGTACTGATGAGGTATACGGTATATAAGCCTACGCTATACGGTACGGTCTATATTTAGCATCTAAACGTGTACATTATTTCCGACGTTATTGTTTAACAGACACGGTGAGATCATTACCTGATAAAATTGTTTTCATGTAGAGATGGAAATCGTAAGGCGGGTGAGGGGTGAGGCACACACGAGCGCGGGTGAGGGGTGAGGCACACACGAGCGCGGGTGAGGGGTGAGGCACACACGAGCGCGGATCTGGTGTATAGGGGCGTGCGTGCG